CTGCAGATCTTGGTCCTGCTGCTGCCGCTGCAGTTGTTGGTACTGCTGCTGCGGCTGTTGGTTCTGAATTGCGAACTATACTTTCTCATCGCAAAATTTACCTGCCATGAGATGGCAATGCTTTGATGATATATTGTGTAAGGAAAATATATTTTACCAAAATATCTTAATTTAGCTAAATGATTGTCCCGCTACTACCTGCTGTGAACAGCAGCGCAATATAAACTAAATTTCGATTTAAAGCTTTCGTGACTGCAGGGATTCATCTTCTTGGTTCTTTCGGTAAAGTCACGTAGAAGGGAAATAATAAAATAAGAAAAATATTATTATTTATTATTTTATTATTTTCCTTCTACGTGACTTTACCGAAAGAACCAAGAAGATAAAACAAATTATGTACGCTTTATGCATTTGGTCAAGTTGTTGTTAAAAACAGCTTCGAGTGCACCTACATTTGTAAGTGAAATTTTACCTAGAAATAACACAAGTCCAAATATTGTTTTTCAAGCACCTTCCACGCATTTACCTATGGTGCACACCACTAATGCTAATGGGCATCATTGCTAGTTCTCGATCGGCCAAGTGACATTGCATTGGGAGACCATTTCTGCTCTTCGCAACTGGATTACAAATATCGAACAATTGCTATAAAACATTTTTTTGTACATTTTAACATTTAGTGCTTATCGTAAACCTTTTATGATAACAAATTATTTGTAATAACAACAATAACATGGTAATTTTTTTATATCTATCTGCATGTAAACATATCGTGCAGATTAATTGCAAACATTAAAAATTCATGAAAGTGTTCTGAAGCCGTAATAGGATTAGTTTAAACGTATTACTTACAGATCAAAGTGATAAGATTATTCATCTATTGATGTAAATGACTGGTGACGCAAGGCCAGTTTCAGAATTGACGGTAATGGTCTACAAATGCTAATGTCGACTTTAAATAAATTATAATAACTATGGTAATGTGCTAGAACCTACAAACTTAGATGTTCATTGCATGCGAAATGGGTGACAGCAGGTTTCCAATAAGTGAGACATTTTTAACAACCAAGGTGGTCACTTTCCAACTAGACGACCTTACGTTTCGTGCGACGAGCCTTCTGGGAAATGGTGTCATGACATTCTCCCACAGGCAGTGGTGTAAATGCTGCCGAATACGTTCTTTTCAAAAAGGTAAGCTGGTTGGTCCAACCACACGCCAAAGCAGTCACAGAACACAGTCTGAAAAATTCGTTGTACAATGGCTTTAAATTTGACAATTTGCTCAGTGGAGGAATTGCTGCATTTTGCAAATGTGCTGGACAGTTATCGTGTTTTGTTTTGCGTCAAACCATCCGAGTGCTGTAATACACTTTGCACACTAGTCCGTTGAAGCCTGTATATGTTTGAAAGGACAATCCAGTGGTTTCCACGCAAATTTACAATCTGAATAAACTCTGCCTTGCATAGACCAATTTCGCATTTGATTAGGCGCTCCTTGAAATGAGGGCAAGTCTGTAGATCCGTCTATGGTCGAATTGAAAATCTTCAGCAATGCCAATTTCGATGTCCGTCAACCAATAGGCAGGGTCAAGTAATTTGTGGATCTCCTGTTTTTACACGCTTTTATTTAACTCACTCTGTTGTTTTTGTTGTTGTATTCTCAAATCTTGTAACTCAATTTTAACCCACTTTCCAATGTGGTATCGACTGCAAACGTCGCATACTTATGTCTTACTGATGACAATACTATATTCTATCATAAAAAAATATATTTTTAAATAATCTTTTTACACGCTTTCTATTAACTCACTCTGTCTGTTGTTGTCGTATTCCCAAATCTTGTAACTCAATTTTAACCCACTTCCCAATGTGCTATCGACTGCCAACTTGGTATACTTATGTCATACTGCTGCCAATACTATATTACGTCATTAAAAATAAAACAAATATTTTTAAACATTCATTTTTTTAATGTTTGTTTCGTCTTGGGTCTAATTGTCCACGCTCAACTGACGTTGGCTGTAAATCACCACAATCCCTTACGTTATGGCAAGCTTCGGGGCCACTACCTGGAGTCGTGAAGTTTTGCCATTACGAGTACGGTATATTTCATTAAAGCGTGTTTAAAAAAAAGTATTTGTAAATATTATCTATTAAAAACACATTTACGCATGTCCGAGGTTTGTATTGGCTTTAGCGGTGTGGGCACTGTCTTGATATACCGCTCTCTCTGGCATTCCTCAACGCTTGCAACCCATTGCTGAACATACTTTATCATCCCTTTCCAATAAAATGTCCTGCCCATGATCATCTGCGTTTTTGTCAGCACCCAATGGCCAGAAGATTCATGACACCACTGCAGAGCTTCGTTTTTATACGCCGTTCACACAGAAACGAATCCATTTATTTTTCTGCAATTTAATAAAGCTTCTCTTCCACGGCTTGAAACGTTTCTACGTATTTTTTTCAATGAAATATTTTCTGTCTACCTAGCAGAAGGGGTGGGGGAACCTTTTTTCTGCCAAGAGCCATTTGGATATTTACAACATCATTCGCGGGCCATACAGAATTATCAACTTAAAAATTAGCCTGTTATATTTGGTCAAACATTTAATTAACTCACCCCTAATGTGATGGCTGGAACTGCTTCTCTTTGGCGAGGCGTGTGATGTTAGCTGGTATGGATGATGTTGCTACTCGCAACTGCTTTTCCAGGTTTGCTCCGAGATTTATTGAATTTCGAGTCCCGTCTGCGGTTACCTTGTAGGGCCAGACCAAATCCCACCCTTGGGGCACGCTGTTAGGCTGCAAATATTTTTTTGAATGTCCTCATGTGTCCAACCCATTTCTATATGCAGTTTTTAATGATGTGTGTAGACCAAACAAATAAAAGTACCTGTACTTTCCTGGCAGCACGGTGTGGTTGGTAATTAAAAGGTTCAAAGTGTCTCTGGAAATACAAAGTCTTTCTTATCCGAATCTTAAGCAAAGCGACGATGCACAGCGAAGTGCAGAGGTTCAGTTGCGATTCTTGGTCACAACACGCAAACATGCAGTGCTGTATGGATAGGCTCGCATGTGCAAACGTTATAAGCATTTGCTCAAACAAATTAAATTGAAAATAATGCAGCACAACAGTAGTACTGGGTAAAATTTTAGATAAAATCGAAGTTAAAGACTGTACTTACTGCGTAAACTTTAATATGAAAACGGACACAGTTTTAGATGAAATCGAACATTGTCAAATACTGTACTTGCTGAATACATTTTAATATAAAAACACACAGTTTAAGATAAAATCAGACATAGTTAAAGACTCTAAAATTCCGCGGGCAAATCATTGAGAAAAATCAATGTAATCAATAGCAACGATTCATTTTTGGGTACGAGATGGTCACGGAATCAATAACTTGTCATCAATGGCAACGATTGATGGATAGATGTTCACGGAATCAATAACTTGTCATCAATGGCAACGATTTATTGATGGATCGATATGGTCACGGCATCAGTAACTTGTCATCAATGGCAACGATTTATTGATGGATCGAGATGTTCACGGAATCAATAACATGTCATCAATGGCAACGATTAATTGATGGATCGAGATGGTCACGGAATAACATGTTATCAATGGCAACAATTGATGGATCGATATGTTCACGGAATCAATAACATGTCATCAATGGCAACGATTAATTGATGGATCGAAATGGTCACGGAATCAATAACATGTCATCAATGGCAACGATTAATTGATGGATCGATATGTTCACGGAATCAATAACTCGTCACCAATGGCAACGATTTGATGGATCGATATGGTCACCGAATCAATAACATATCAATGGCAACGATTAATTGATGGATCGATATGGTCACCGAATCAATAACATATCAATGTCAACGACTCATTGTTGGATCGATATGGTCACGGAATCAATAACATGTCAATGGCAACGACTCACTGATGGATCGATATGGTCACCGAATCAATAACATATCAATGGCAACGACTCATTGTTGGATCGATATGGTCACGTCACGGTGAAGTGGCACGCCCCCCCCCCCCTTATTTCCCCTTACTCTGATTGGCTAAGCGCCGCTTGTATTTCCCGTCCGCTTTAATCGTATTACAAAGTGTTAGCGAAGGTAAAAAAAACACTTTAAACAACATCAACATCAACAACATCATCAACAACATCAACATCATCAACATCATCAACAACATCATCAACATCAACAACAACATCAACATCATCATCAACAACATCATCAACAACATCAACACCATCATCAACAACATCATCAACCAATAGCGAGCACGGCTCGCTTGCACGCGTTACGAATAACAAAGCCAAGCCCGTCGGGGTTGGTGGTGGTGGGGGGAGCGCAACAACAACAACAACATATTCTTGGTTCTTTCGGTAAAGTCACCTAGAAGGGAAATAATAAAATAATAATTGTTACATTTTTTTTATTTTATTACTTCCCTTCTACGTGACTTTACCGAAAGAACCAAGAATAGTAATCCCTGCGGTCACGAAAGCTTTAAATCGAAACAACAACAACAACGAGGAGGAGACGCGAGAGGGGGCGGTGCAGAGAGAGCGTCGGCGCGTGACGTCACCAGGGGAGGGGGGGGGGGAAGTGGTGGGCGGCCATCTTGGTACAGGAAGATGGCAGCGCGCGCGTGAGTCCGTTGAGGGGCGGAGGGTGGGGCGGGGGGGCAGGGGGTCGGTGGGGAGGGGGTTTTGCGTGGGGGGGGGGAGGAGTTACCGGGGGGTGGCGGTTTACCGTGGGGGGGAGGGGTTACCGGGGGGCGGGGCTTAGCGTAGGGGGAGGGGTTACCAGGGGGTGGCGGTTTACCGTGGGGGGAGGGGCTTACCGTAGGGGGAGGGGTTTCCGTGTGGGGGGGGGAGGAGTTACCGTTGGGGTGGTGGTTTACCGTGGGGGGGGGGGTAGTGGGGTGCGGGGTGTGGTACCTCCCTTAGCAAGATGGCTGCTGCGGTTTCGTGCGCACTGTAAAGTGGTCACGGGGTGCTGGCAAGGGGGAGGATTGCCGAGTGATGTTGTACAGTTCGGGGTTCCACTCCCTCCTCACCACCGCAGATTCTCGCCGCCGGACGCGACAGGAAGGGAGGAAGCTCACGAGGTACGAATTACGAACTTTAACTGCGCTTGGGTTCTGCAGTAATACGGCAAAATGTTGATTTCGTTAAAACCCACGTAGGTTGTTGTGCAGTACCGTGCTGGTCAACGTCAGCATGTGCACACTGCCGATGTGCTGCGTTCTTCCCCGCCAAACATTCAGCGAGGAAACGAATCCGTTCAGTAAAAAACAATGTAACTGCAGTGAAATAATTCTACTAACTCGAAATGTTGATTTAAAGCTTTCGTGACTGCAGCGATTCATATTCTTGGTTCTTTCGGTAAAGTCACGTAGAAGGGAAATAATAAAATAAAAAAAATATTAAACATAATAAGATGAAATTTTCACGACGTTTCGACTGCAACACAAAGCAATCATCACCAGGTGTGAAATCCACAGCAAGAAAATACAAATGTTGATTGCTTGTGTTGCAGTCGAAACGTCGTGAGAATTTTTATTGATTTATATTTGTATTTATTACTTTATTATTTCCCTTCTACGTGACTTTACCGAAAGAACCAATACTACTACTAACTCGTTGTTTCAGCAAAAATTCAGCGATAAATAAACAACAACAACACTGCAGACAGCTGTAATACGCTGCGTGGGTCCCGACTGTCGCATACGAATGCTATTTTGACGATGCTGATCGCGATGATATAATGGAAATAGAATAAACAAAAAATACTTTAAAGTTGCTGCCAGCTGAGTAATTCGTGTCACTCACATAATTGTGGTTTGTTCCACGCTTTTATTTTTATATTTTAGCGTCAGTGAAGCTACATCATCGGTGGCCGCCTCCTTGTGATCGCTTCCTCATCATTAACCATTCAAACTCGTGGCCGGAACATCACAGTTCAGGTGTGTATCATCATCATATTCATCATCATCGTCGTCGTCAATCCACTGCTGGATGTCCCTTACGAAGGCAACCTCCAAGCAGAAGCAATCTCTATTACGATTCTGTTATGCAATAAGTCAATACTGTTGTAAAAACAATATTTGCCCGTGATCACGTCACCCGGAATGTGTCAGATCTTTGCAGCTAAGCAGGGTTAAAGGCCGGATAATAGCGCTTGGGAAAAGGCTAAGCATGTTGTTTTACAGGCAGAGGGCAAGTGGCAACAAAACCCCGTGTTGTACTATACTTATATGTGCCTCCCGGCACTCACCAGCGTGGTGAAGTATGGTCAAACGACCTGCACGGCGCGGGAACGGCCCTCGTCCAGCAGTGGATTGACAAAACGGGGCCGTGCGTGTGTGCAGTACACACACAGAGCACACACACACAGACACAGTACACACACACAGTACACACAGTACACACACAGTACACACACAGCACACACAGTACACACGCACAGTACACACACACGCAGTGCACGCACGCAGTACACACACAGTACACACACAGTACACACACAGTACACACACGCAGTACACACAGTGTACACACACAGTGTACACACACACACAGTACACACAGTACACGCACGCAGTACACGCACGCAGTACACACACACAGTACACACACACAGTACACACACGCAGTACACATACAGTACACACAGTACACGCAGTACGCGCACGCAGTACATACACGCACGCAGTACACATACGCACGCAGTACACACAGCACGCACGCAGTACACACAGCACGCACGCAGTACACACAGCACGCACGCAGTACACACACACAGTACACACACGCAATACACAACGTCCATCGGAAATGCGTCGTCAACGCTAAGATCGTGCGTGTGTGTGTCCGAACCTGTTCTGGCCATCCTCTCGGTTGATTTACCCCCAAATAATTCACCCGGTGGGTTGTGTGAACATCAGCATTGGGGAGACAAAAGCGGCCGGGCGTGGTGTTGGTCACATTGGCCGCCCACTTTATGTTGCGTGGCCATTCCTAATAGGTGCTCACTAACAGCGTTTGTTGCAACAATATGTAAGGCAATTGGGGGGGGGGGGGGCGCATGTTTTATTTTGAGCTTTGTGTTGTACCAACAATTCGGTGTAAGAGTACTGTACAGTATATGGGTGACTATCAGCGCTGTGACCTAGGTTCAATCCCTTATCGTGATGTACAGAGAACACCAATTACAATGCCAACGTGGCTAACGTGTTGTTAATGTGTTGAAGGAAATAGGATCGGTTTAGCATTAATTAAACATAGTAAGCAGTTCAGTCTTGATTTGAAGCTTTCGTGAACTGCAGGAATCCATACTCTGGTTCTTTCGGTAAAGTCACGTAGATATTATTTTTTTCTATCTACGAGACTTTCCCGAAAGAACCAGAGAGTATGGTAAGCAGTTGTTTTCTCGCCAAACGGCGAAATAGTTTGTCGTTCATAGATAGCAAATGATATTTCCCCAAATGGTACAAATTTCACCTTCATATGATAACCAGATCACCCGGTACACGTCCAATCTTTGTCAGATCTCAGAAGCAAAGCAGGATTGAGCCCATATGGTGCTTGGAAGGTTACCAGCATCCGAGCCAAGTTGTCATGTGATGCTTAGAGGTCAGTTCAGAAAAAAAAATATTGTTGTACTGTACTTGTATGCTCTCACGTCTATGCTCCCCACCTTCATGAACTTCTAATAACCAGCGTGAAGAATTTGTGATACAATCGCACGACTCGCCGTACGTGTGGAGGCCCCCATTCCGTAGGGGATTGACATAATGACTGCATTGACATTACATTTTTTGAACTCCGAACGTCTTGACTTACCACTTTATTACTGGATACTTAGATGTTTTGCATGTCAGGGACTTTCGGTTTCTGCACAGTTGCTCAATGCGGTAGAAATTATTTATTCTTATGATTGGAATCTTGTTCCAGAGTCGAACATAACAATCACGGTTAGTTAAATAAAACCTGGTGCTCATTTTACTGGTCTCTTAAATGGTGTTGAAGATGATTATCTAACTATAAGTGTGACCGGAGTTGGGATGTGAACTCTGAACCTCGGTATTGTGGGGGAATATACTTTGTAAACTAAGCTATATTTAGGCATACATGAGCAGTGAACTGTAAGCTTTTGGGTAGTACCTCGCCTAGGTCGATTCAGCCTCAAATAGCGTGATCAACATCAACACTGGGGGCATACCACTGGACGTGCGTCGTGCCGATTCAACTACCCCATTCATTTTCTGGTTTGAATTGACATTGAAATGTGCTTGCAAACACAACTTAATCCATTGAAGCAAGTGTGTAGATTGTCTTCTACTTATACATGCGTAAGTAGAACAGGTCTTACAGGATGATGACAACACAGAACGTGTATTTTGGCATAGCTGTGCCTTTTATGTAAAATACGTGTGAGCTGCACTGTTTAATTGCATAAAGAAATGACAAATAATTCGTAGTGAAGGCTTGCAATGTTTGCCCTATATGGGACAAGCTTGAAAATTACTGGACTGTATAGCCCCAATATAGCTCTAATGGCCCAGCACAGATGTTTATTCATTATTCAAGCAGCTCAATTTTCCACATGAGGATTGTAAGAGCCACATTGCAGCTTTTAAAATAATCCATTTAGCAGACAACAATGTCAACCCAAGGGGTCATCATGCATCACCAGTCAAATATGTGGTTTGTATAGTTTGTGAAGCTCATTAATTGCACAATATATGTTGTACTGTATATGTTCTTTTCAGCCAAGAAACTGCTGTCCTGATGCTTATGTTTAATGCGTTGTATTTACTTCCACGTGGATGTACAGTTCTTAATTGGAGCACGATTTTCTTGCTTTTTTACTTGGGCGTGTTACCCCTGAGCCACATCAGCTACAGTATTTAATTTATTCCTACTCTGATAAGTTTCGATCGTCAGCAGGGTGTGTCCTACCTTTGTACACTTGTTGGAAGCAAACAATCAATGGTCTGCTGTGTTAGGTTGGCAGTTTGAGCCTACCTCGTGTGATGTAGCATGCTTGCCGCTGAGGAAGCAGATATGGATGCATGTTTTTGTTGAACTTCTTTCACACCATATGTAGCCAATCGGAGGTGTGGATATCTGGATTCTGTGTTTTGAGGATACACATGTTTTCATGTGTACATTAAAACTCTACAACATCATTATACTCTACACAAATCCTTTGTGCACAGGTGCATGGTGGGTAGTCCCTGACACTGTAGTATGTCATATTGATGCCACCTGTCACTATGCACTGAATTACATTTTGTGAGGTATTTTCTCAGTTAAATGTCAAGGAATAAGCCTGCAAGCTTACTCTGTTTTGATTCATGTGTGAGACATTTTTTCGAGGTACCAGTTTGTAAGTTCTGTATGTTTTTTATTCCAAATGGTTTATATTTGACCTGTTATGATGCTTTGATTGGATTATTAAACAATCCATGCAACTAATCATCTAACAATCTATTATGTTCGATTAGTGTATGTTGTATATGCATTCATATGAACCTTTCGACCAGCCAGTGGTGCTTTAGTAACTAAAGTGTTAAAATCGGGATCCTGGATCTTTAAAGTTCTGAAAATAGTACGGGGGCAATTTGCGGCATAACTAATTTAAACTCCGTTACAAACTGTGCCCTGTCTCGTCCTAAATCTGCAATCCCTTTTATCTCCCTGTGTTTCTAGGGACATTTTCTGCATACAAGTTTGTTGGCCACAAAGTGCCGAAATGTAATTTTCAAGACATCCCGAGAGCCATCGGCACGGCCTCTCACTCACACAATCTGAGTGTTGCGTGCAGGTAAGAGATTGCTTCTAGATTTGAAGCTTTCGTGGCTGCAAAAATAAATAATAAAATACTAATAATGGAAATAATAATAGAAATAAAATTATAGATCACGACGTTTTTGGCACAACACAAGCATCCGTCATCAGGTGGGACAACCACAGCAAGAAACAATTGCTGAAGTGGGCAAAAGAGCTGCTGTAACAAGAGGCTATATAGGTAAGAGACGGGGGAGGAGCCAGGGAGGAGAGAAAAAATGAGAGAGAAGGAGAGACCTCCTTCTCTATCTCAACAAATGTTAATTAAACCCATGTATTAGCATTATTAACAATGTAGAATTATAGGGCATAGGAAACTGCTTACTCGGTTCGAAGCTTTCGTGACTGCAGGAATTATTCTTTGGTTCTTTCGGTCGGCCTATGTGTGTGTCTGTCTTTGTGTGAGTCTCTCTCTGCTTGTGTGTCTGTCTGTGTGTCTATGTTTTGTCTCTGTCTCAAATTTAGCAATCTTTGGAGGAACGTAATCAACCAGGTGGGGTGTTTACTTGTGTTGGCCGACTCTCTCTGATATTTCCAAGTTTACTATGTTTGTTTTCTCATTCATTTGTACCTGATGATGGTTGCTTGTGTTGCAATCGAAACGTATTCTATTATTATTTTATTTCTTTCTACGTGACTTCACCGAAAAAAACCAAAGAATGCTTACTCGGTCTTCTGTAATGAACTCGGCCTCTCAGCTTTGCTGGCTCAGCATACGACATAATTCCCCTGGGCCAGCCTCGCCAACCACCGATCCCATTTGATTATTTTATGCTTCGATCAATTGCATTGTTTCCCTTTAATCGCATCAACTGGCCAAGTGTACCGGCCACATGGCTGTTCCATGTGTTTGCGGCAGCCGTGCTGGGCGGCGCCGACCGTTGCTGGGGCTGGCGGTGATGCAGCGCGCCTCCCCTGTTGCCGCCGCCCCCCCGGCACTCACCGCGCCGCGCCGCCGCATGCTGCTCGGGGTCTTCATCCTCCTCCTCGTCGACATCATCTGGGTCGCCTCCTCTGAGCTCACCTGGGTACGGATGCGATGATGCAATGACGACGAGCGGCACTGGACCTGAAGTGTGCCCCAAAGTGGGTTAACTTGTCACAGTGGGCATGCCAATCTTTGTTTTTACTCTCTATTACAGTGAAAAGTCTGACCGAGTGTCATGACTTTTCCAGGAGGGTCCGGCCACGTTTTCAAATTAGGGGGCAATAGCTTCGATGTAGATTCCAATTGCGTAAATTTTACGGATCATTTTTCAAATTTGGCAAGTTTAGACCATGACGCCGGCACCCAGTGGCACTTACGCTCGTGAATGATGGTGTGGGATTTTTTACGTAAGTGCGAAGCAGATTACCTTGCTTTTTATGGTTACTACGCCTGAAATATTAATCGGGGCAGATGCTGGATTAAAACAGTGAGCCTCTGCAACAAGCGGCGAATGTGTTATAGCTGGTCCATGTGTTATAGCTAGATTACCCATGACCAAATCACCTGGGTTGCACCTGACTTTGCTAGATCTCAGAATCCAAGCAGTTTTGAACCTGGATAACGCTTGGTTGTGTGACTACCATGAATAGGTGTTGTAAACTGCAGGGCTACGTGGTGGACAAAAGACAGCGACAGTCGACTTGTTATACCATACTTCTTTGCTTCATTGTTTGTTGCCCTTGGCACTAACCTGCGCCACCATAACCTTCACGGTGTAGAGGGGCCCTCATCCAGCAGTGGATTGCCAAAGGGATCTGTACATTACAGTTTATTGGTGTGAGAATTGCTTTTTCAGAATTTTGTTGCGTTGTCATTGAAGTACCACTGCAAATGTGTGTGTCTGTGTTTGTGGATCCGCAGTATGCTTTCCGCACATTTGAGAAGCCCTTTTTCAGTACATTTGCCAAGACTTCCATGTTTGTGGTCTACCTACTTGGGTTCCTGCTCTGGAAGCCATGGCGCCAGAAGTGCATGCAGGGGGTCTGCTTGGCGCACAGCGTTCCGGTAATTTCCTACATGAACAGTGCGGCCCATTTATTTTTATTTTTTACTAGCTGTACTACCCGGCTTCGCCCGGGACTTGTATCTACCACGGCCGGCCGCCTTTGTCTCCCCAGTGGCGATGTTAATACGCTACAGTAGTTAAGTTACTCGTTTGAGGCAGAGTCGACCTAGGGGAGGTTCAAATAATCGTCACCGGTGGTGGCCGTGAGCGGGAATCGAACTGGGTTTGCCGGGTTGGTAGCGCAGCGTAGCGTTAAGCACTACACCCACCGCTCCTCACACACCACACACGCACAGACACACACACAGACACACACACAGACACACGCAGACACACACAGACAGAAACACACACACAGACAGCACGCTAACCACTACACTACCGCTCCCCACACACCACACACGCACACACACAGACACACACACAGACACACACACAGACACACACACACAGACACACACACACAGACACAGGCAGCACGCTAAGCACTACACTACCGTTCCCCCTACACAACACACGCGCGCGCGTCCATAGGTACATATACACGCGCTTGCTGCAGACACACACGACTTTCAGGGTGCATACGGCAGTAAACGACTGAAATAATAAAGCGGCAATGCTGTGTAAGGAACGCCTTAGACCCGCATTATACATTTGTGTAATGCGAGCGTAAACACACAAACACACACAAACACATACACAATACACACACACATACATGCAGACACACAGACAGACACATAACACACATACATACACACACATACAAACACAGAAACACATACACACACATACATAGACACACACATACATACACACAAACACATCCACAGACGTACATACACACATACATACAGGCACGCAGACATACACATAAACACATACAAAAAAAACCCACATACATACACACACACATACATACACACAAACACATGCACACACATACATACACACATGCATACAGACACACAAACATACACATAAACACATACACACATACACATGACCCGGCTTCGCCCGGGACTTGGATCCACCACGGCGGCAAAACCGACATACATACACACACAGACACACACACAAACACATACACACACATACATACACACATGCATACAGACACACAGACATACACATAAACACATACACATGACCCGGCTTCGCCCGGGACTTGGATCCACCACGGCGGCAAAACCGACATACATACACACACAGACATACACACAAACACATACACACACATACATACACACATGCATACAGACACACAGACATACACATAAACACATACACATGACCCGGCTTCGCCCGGGACTTGGATCTACCACGCCCAGCCGCCTTTGTCTCCCAAGTGCCGATGTTAATACGCCACACCAGTTACTCGTTTGAGGCTGAGTGGACCTAGGGGAGGTTCAAATAATCGTCACCGGTGGTGGCCGTGAGCGGGAATGGAACTGGGTTCGCCGGGTTGGTAGCGCAGCGTAGCGTTAAGCACTACACCCACCGCTCCTCACACACCACACACGCACAGACACACGCAGACACACACAGACAGACACAGACAGACACACACACACACAGACACACAGACAGCACGCTAAGCACTACACTACCGCTCCCCACACACCACACACGCACACACACAGACACACACACAGACACACGCAGACACACACAGACAGACACAGACAGACACACACACACACAGACACAGACAGCACGCTAAGCACTACACTACCGTTCCCCCTACACAACACACGCGCGCGCGTCCATAGGTACACATACACGCGCTTGCTGCAGACACACACGACTTTCAGGGTGCGTAAGGCAGTAAACGACTGAAATAATAAAGCGGCAATGCTGTGCGAGGAACGCCTTAGACCAGCAACACATTTGTGTAATGCGAGCGTAAACACACAAACACATACAAACACATACACACACATAAATACACACACATACACACAAACACATACACACAGACATACACATACACACAAACACACACATACATGCACACAAACACATACACAATACACACACACATACATGCAGACACAGACAGACACATAACACACATACATACACACACATACACACACATACATAGACACACACATACATAGACACACACATACATACACACAAACACATGCACACACGTACATACACACATACATAGAGACACGCAGACATACACATAAAGACATAAAAAAAACCCACATACATACACACACACATACACACAAACACATACATACACATACATACACACATACATAGAGACACACAGACATACACATAAACACAAACACACATACACATGACCCGGCTTCGCCCGGGACTTGGATCCACGATGCCCCGCCGCCTTTGTCTCCCCAGTGACGATGTTCACACACGACAGCAGTTACGCTTTTGAGGCTGAGTGGACCTAGGGGAGGGCCAGGTCCGTTTCAAATAATCGTCAGCGGTGGTGGGCGTGAGTTGGAATCGAACTGGGGTCGCTGAAGCAGCTTAATGACTGTTTGTACAAAGAACATATAAAGAATCGATTATAATAACCAGGCAAGAGTCCACATTATAGACTGCCAGTACACGCACTCAGCTTCATAAGCAGGCTAGAGTGTACATGATAGAGTGGCAGTACGCTCACCGAGCTTAATAAGCAGGCTACAGTGTACATGATAGACTGGCAGTACGCTCACCCAGCTTAATGAGTATTTGTACAGTGAACATTAAAGTAATCGATTGTTGGCGCGTTGGGTTTAAAAGTAATATTAATAGCACACATTGTGGTGGGGGTGTAGTGAAGAGTAGGAAAAACTTTGATGAATTTACCTCAGAGTGGCGTGGTGGGTGTCGAGGCCTAGTAGCGTGCAAAGCCTGCGGCCTCGCCTAAAATTGTCGGCTTGGAAGAGGCAGGGTACGGGTGGCGTTCCTTCCCCCCCCCCTAGCGCTCCAACAATACTGTGTAATGGCTATTATTTAATTAAATACGGAGCTTATGAAAGTGGCGAAGGCGTGGCTAGCCGTTGGCAGGGGCAACCGCCGTCCAATGAAACTGCAGCCCTTGGCGAAGGCGTGGCTAGCCGTTGCCAGGTCCAATGAAAGCGGCGAAGGCGTGGCTAGCCGTTGCCAGGGGCAACCGCCGTCCAATGAAAGTGCGTATGGGCCAAAGTCCACACACACACACACAGACAGACAGACATGAACGATTTTATATATATAGATTGCACTTTCAATGGCACTTTCACCACTCTGTTCCAAAGTTTTACCATGTGTCAAAGACCTTTTCGGTCTGGTGGGTATTGATGGCTGGTAACTGCATAAATACTCTGCTTATGCATGTTTTAATCTGTAGTGGCTGTTGATACAAAATTTAAAGAACTTTACTCATGTTCACTGCTACTCCTGCTGCTAATTTGTCTTTTGTTTTCTTTTTTAGTTTATTGAGACGGATGTTGGGTGCATCAGCACCAAAAGCCGCAGTGAAGCCAGCGCTAATTCCTTGTTGGTACGTGTGCGAGTGTGCTCTTTAATTGCACTTGTCCCAACAGCATGTGTAGGCTAACAGGGGCATCTTTGTTTTTCCAAGAAATTATGGAGCACGAATGGGGGTTATCCATTTCTAGACACCCTACAAAACTAATTTGGAGAAGGGATGAGTTTCAGATGTTTAAAAAACTACTTTTGGATTTTTAAGGATCATTTCAGGTCATGTACTCATGCAAGATGTCTTCTTGTGAACAATAGTAAGGTCACCTGATGCCATATCGGTAACGTCCCTTTTTGTTTTGTATCTACGTCCTGATATTTGGATTAATTCGGATATTGGGAGCACATCCCTCTTGAGAGAAATTATAGAGAAAACTACATTTTTATTCAAAGCCTCAATGTTGTATATTGATTCATTAGTTTAACATTCTCCTCTGTAAGATACGGAGCCATCGCTGTCACCATATTCATTCACCGCTTGAGCAGACATGAAGAGGGTCATTATAAATCAGTGGCATGTCTGTAAATGTTTCACGCCGTGGTTCTGTACTGCCCATAATTGGTGCCGAGCAAAGAAAAAAGGTCCCAGTTTCATTGGGCTAAACATGGGGAAAATTCCTTTTATACGCTTGAAACAAAGAATAAGACATTCTTGTACAGTATGTGCGAAGATGCATTATCATAAGCATTTAGACATAATAACCCATGACTGTTTTTTTGGCTCAAAAGATTGTTTTGCAGCAATTACATCTTATCCAGTTCAATAAGGGTGTTCCGTAATCGTGTATGAATGCTCATGTGTGTCTGTGTGAGGATAGTTTAGTGGTCGCTTGTGCCTGCTAGGCGATATACATCTAGTTTATTGCTTATATCGCTCCTCTCCCTGTTGACCCTCATAGGGTGAACCACTGTACATGCCCGTGAATTTTAATGACTCCAGTGGAGAACAAAGCAGCAGCGTTGAGGGCAATGATACAGAAGATCCTGGTATGAAGAGAGTGGGCAAACATGCAATGCATACCCGAACATTTCCCTTTAATGCATCGAAATAAAGTGTAGCCAATTTTAACGGAACTTTTCTCTACCCTACTCGTATATATAACTCTAAACACATCATCGCAATATATTTAATCCCTCCGCTATTGCTGAAACTTTATTTCACTGTAACTTCCTTCATGTATGTCTATACGGTACCTACATAACCATAACCACATGACTGCTTAACACCTACCCTAATACTGACACTGCTTCACTTTAACTGTGACTCTATTTCTGTTCCCAACTATAAGAGCAACCATATCCTTAAAACACACTTACTTGACAGTAACATGAATACTCTACCTAACTATAATCACAACGTGTATACTCTACCAGACCATCACCCTAACCCTCACTTAACAATGCAATTGACCTTAACGCACTTTGACCTGAACATGACATTTATCCTCTGCCAAAATCTTAACCCTTGATATTTTGCTTGTATATCTTTAATCAAGGATGCTACCATGCTGTCAGCGTTAGCACAATAGATTTGCGATCCAGAGGTCAAAGACAATGCAAATATAAGTGATTGTTTTGTTTGCATGTTCACCACAAGTACGTGTGGTTAATGCAGACTTGATTCCTTGCAAAAGGAATCTATTTGGTGTTTGAATATCTGTACACCTGTTTTATTGCCAGAAAGGGTAAAACCTATTCTTATTTTTTAATCCAGATGTTGCTGGTGTGTTTCTATCTCAGCACAGCATTTTAACAATGGTGCATTTTCTTAAATTCCCCCCCTGCCCACCACCAGTCTATGTCCACCCAGCTGTATAAAAAATATCTGGCCTGGCATGGAAGAGCAGGCCAAATACTCTCTAGAGGAGCTCTTTTGAGCAAACTATTGCAAGGGTGCACCTTTACCTTATACCCTATACCTTACTTTTTACTCTGTACCTTAACTGTGACTAAGATGCCCACCTTAATCACAAACATTAAATCCAACTTCTGCAAGCAGGCGACGCCAAGAGGCCACGCGTGCGCTTCAGCAAGCTGACGGAGGTGCGGCAGCTGCCGTCGAGGGATGCGCTGGCTGCCAAGCTGTCGCGCATGTCCTACTGGGCCGGGAGAGACCACGAGGCGGCCATACGGGCCGCGGGCAAGCTTCCTGTGGGCCAGGTCGCCAAGATCAGCCTGCTGCTATGTTTTGTGGTGGGTCACAGTAGGTCCCTCCACTTGACGAAGCTCCAGAGAGCCCTTAACAGAGGGAGTTTTCACTTTGAGACCTCCTTTACCAGTGGCAAAATATAGTAATAGGTTTTTACCCTTTCAACTGGTAGAAAAACTGACACCTTTATACAAGGGATCATGTTTGATCAGTTTGTACCAGTTGAAAGGGTAAAAACCTATTACTATATTTTGCCACTGGTAAAGGAGGTCTCATAGTGTAAATGCTTACCCCGAGCTCTCAATACTGAGATAGTGCACTGTTTTTGAGTTGTACGCCTTTTGGCGTCATCTGGTCCAACACCAATGGAGACTAGGCTCTAAGAAAAGCTGTCTCGGGTGTGGAGCAATCAACTTCAAGGACAGTGCATATCATTATCAGAGTTGTTTCTTTTTGTTTGCATTTTGACTGCTTGTGTTGTGGTTATTGCAAAAACATGATCCCTTGTATAAAGGTGTCAGTTTTTGTACCAGTTGAAAGGGTAAACAACCTATTACTAGAGGGAGTTTTCATCTACTCTTTCACGCTGACATTTAGTTGATCAACTAAATGTTGCATACCCATGTATATACAGCTCTGTGAACAGAGATGAGGGGAGGGGGATTTAATAAACTTGCCGATCGCTTAAAATGCCACGCTGTTAGAACTGGCAACCTCTTAATTGGAAGTTCATAGCGCTCCCCATTACACCAAGCAGCATATCTTTCTGTAAAGCAGTAGGAGAAATAAGGCAGCTTAATCTAATACATCTATTATGGTCTTTGTCATACACTGCTGGTTGAGAACTTATTCATATTCTTAGGTTTTTTCGGTAAAGTCACGTTGTGCACATCGTGGGGGTTATTTTACCATGCTTCACCACGCTGCCCAGTGTGTGTTGGTGAAGGTAGGGGAGTATAGATGTGGGAGCGTAGTACAGTACATCATTGTGTTTTTCTGCACCACCCTCCACTGCCCACCATATAGCTTCGCAGCATATAATAACCTGTTGCGCGGTGGTCACCCGTCCAAGCACTACATGCACACACGTGCTTAGCTTCTGGGATCTGAATAATCCAGTGTATTCCGGATGATTTGGTCATAGATTGAGTCACTTCATTTTTTCTTTGCCGAATTGGTTCACTTTTAATTGCTAATACCACACTCGTGCACTGTTTTTAGTAGTGTTCGAATTATAACTGTAAATGCAGGAACTTTGTCTCGTGTACTTAATTTAGACTCATTCACCGAATCCTTAATGTATTTATTTGAAACCATACGAGGGATAGTTTTATCCTGGTTGTGAGTAGGATACATGTTCTAGAAGGAATTGTACATCTTTATTTGTCTCAAATGTTATTCATCAACTTGTAATCCAGTATATGGTACTTACGTGAATGAAACAGTGAATTGGAAACTGCGTAAGAGCGTGGCAACCAGAAGCCATTAACTGCTGATCTAAACTTGTTTTTGTTGCTTTCAGTTATAAAAAAGAATAATTAAACTCTATCTCGACATTATTGTTGTTTCTGAAGTGTGTTATTTTGTCCTTTTAAATATATATTTAAATCTGGGGTGAAGAGTACATCGACTAAATATATCTTATTTTGGCACAAAATAGGAAAACATGCCCTCATGTGTGTACAGCCTAAATCTTGCTTTCATTCATAAAGGTTTTGCATACATAGGTGTGTATAAAACTTGCCCGAACCGCCTATCATTGAAACATTCTTACTGATCTTTGTGTATTTAACAAAACAGTTAATTGTCAATGCAAGTTTATATTTTCCCAGCATCAGTTGCTAGACTTCATAAAACATGGTAGTGGATAACAAAATGAATAAAGCTGTGTTCCGACAGGTTGTAACTTTCTGAGTATGTCTGTGTTTGCTCTTTTTTTGCAGTGGTTCATGGCCAATTTGTCCTTTCAAACAGCACTGGTAAAAACCCAGGTCGCCATTGTGAACATTCTCACCTCTACGTCTGGTAAATGCTTCAATCGCATATCCACATTTTTTAAAAGAGCATCTGAATAAGCAGTGCGCCAATTAGCAGAGCTCCATCAACAGGTCACAATGGATCTCATGTGCTAAATGTTAAGGTGTCTTGTTAAAAGAGATACAATGGCATTTCATGTGTGAAGGACGTTTATTAAACAAGTTATTCTGGTGATACTGCAAAGCCAGCAGTGCAGGAGCATTAAAAAACCCAACACATTCATCAACACAATAAGACTTTTGAACAATGGCCATTTTACATTGCTTGAAACGTCACCTCTTATATACCTTTCCTCAATGTTTTCACATCTCATATTGGGCTTAAAATGCAACAAAGATACCTTTTAAAACATGCATATGATATTAAAATGGAGCTATGATATTAATACATCGACCTGGTTCATGACATGTATTGGGCCTGCCTACTTTGAAGCCACTCAAGAATATTTGCATGGCTTGTCTGTGGGTGTGCTTGTGGAAACGGGGCGTTTTGGCGCATGTGCCTAGCTGAGGTTTTTTCTTATCGATGTGTAATTGTTGCCTGGATGTGTTTAGGTCTGTTCACGCTGGTGCTGGCTGGTGTGTTCCCCAGTAACAGCGGAGATCGCTTCACTCTCTCAAAACTGTTGGCTGTTGGCCTCAGGTATTGTCTTACACGTGCACACTGTTACGTTGTGTTCGTACTCACAGAAGTGCCTCCAAAAGTATTAACCAGACCAACAAGGGGATCAAAACAACTGCGGGGGTGTTTTTGTGTGAGCAGTATTGGTGGCGAGGTGCTGGTGAGGGTGTCTCTCAGCACACAGCCAGGAGACAAACAAGAGCTTGGTGAGACATGCACACAACCCACACAGACACGACACAAGACGAAGTTCCCAGTGTAGCCTTTAACAGACTGTTTGAACAAGTGCTGTTAGCGGCACTGTGCGCCTAAATACATGAACGCCTGCACAGTTAAACACCCAAACACACACACATACATCTGCATGCACTATTGTAAAACATCAAGCATGAATTTGCTACACACCCACATATATGTGTAGTGCTGTATTTAACGTGCATATTTCAGTGAGCCCTGAGTACAAGCAAGGCCATAACAAGCCTTGACATGGAACACCATTGTTTATTTTAATACATAACATTTTCTATCTTAAGTCTATTTAAGTGTCACTGTATCAGTTACAATTGTTTAAACTTATTGGCACATTCCGTAGGTAATTCATAATTGTGAAAACATCTACAACTATCCTTTTGCCCGTCCAAGTACGGGTGTTTTGCAGTAAATCTGAAACTTGCATGCGAAAAGCAGACCGTGACGTGATATTCATTGCATTAATTCATGTGCAGTTTATAAGGGCGCGGTGACACAGACCTATTTAATTTGAAGGTTATAATCCCTTGTTCATCATGACGTCCTTTTTACTTTGATGTCTCAACAGCGTTACGGAGATCGCGTGACGTGAGGGTTCTGCCTTTGTAGTGAAGGTTGTAAGTTGACACCGAGGAGGGGGGAGGAGGCGCCTTGCCCCCCCCCATGTGGAGTGACGTCAGCCGCTAATTATTAATGAGGGGTGAGGGGGTGTCCATTTGGAGGACGTCACCTGCTCATGAATATTATATAACAGGAGGCAAACTTTTTGTTGGATGTGTTCACGCATGTGCACATGTACTCGTTTTCCTGTACCGTTTTGGCTCTGTGCAGGCTTCGTGTGCTCTTTGGCGGGCGCGGCACTCTACGCAGTGTACGTGGTGATTCTCAAGAGGCGGGTAGAGAGGGAGGACAAGGTGGACCTGCCCATGTTCCTTGGTAAGTTATGTACCCGACCTGCTACTGGTCGCGTTGTGGCGGAAAGAACAATGGATGATGCTGCATGTGTGTGAGATTAAGCTAGTTGTAATTACTGGCGAAACGTCGTACTCAGATTGCAAATGTTGTGGCTTTGCTCTCCAACACACCGGTGTGCTGTATTAGTAAAGAATTTACATGTTCTGTATACATGACAAACTTTACTAAGTAGGTGTGTCGGGCGGTGGCGGGTTTAACGACACATCTATATATTTACGCGATCTAACCCAAAAAAAAAACCTGTTATGGATATTGGTTGCAAAAGCCCACGTGTTAAACTGTATGTGTGAGTCGGGAGCGGTAGTGTAGCGGTTAGCGCGCCGCGCTACAAACCTGGCGACACGAGTTCAATTCCTGCACGTGGCAACCACCAATGATGATTATCTGAACTGGTTCTGAGCCTCCCCTAGGTCGACTCAACCTCAAATTAGTACCTGGTGCGGTGTGTAAGCATCGCCACTAGGAAAACAAAGGTGGCTGGGTGTGGTGCTGGCCACTCACCCCCTCGTGTGCTGTGCCAGCCTTCATAGGTGCTCGCTAACAACATTTGCCCCAATAGTCTAAGACTATATGGGGGATCTTTGTGTTGAGCAGTAGTGTGCCTCTATTAAAATATGCTTGACTCTTAATCTCTACTCCACTGCAATCACAGCAAATCTGCCAGCCAACATTTTTAGTGCATCTGCCAATCATCTCAAGTCAACCCATGGCACCTGGGTCTGTTCCCTGACCTGCCAGCGGGCCTTCGACACTTCACATGGCCTCAAAGTGCACCTAGCATGGCACAAGCGCCATAGTTACGTCACTATCACTTAATGGTGAACGGAGGTTGTTATAGTTGTGTGTAGAAGAACAGTTGCCTCATACACATGAAGTAATAAAACGTCAGTGATAGTGATAAGCACTGGACACGGGTTAAGCCACACGAGGCAGGGCAGGCTGTTTGACCTTGCAGATTAGAAATGCTAACGATACTGAGACTTTACCCCACAACAAGCGATTGTACCATTATCGATTCACCCCCAAAATAATGCCGAGTGGACCGGCGGTGGAAAACGTAAATTTCCCAACGTTTTCGTTGTGCTGACTTGGAGATGTAAATTAGCCAACACTGCTTCGTTGTGTCTGTGCGTGTTTGTGAATGTGCAGGCTTTTTGGGATTGTTCTGCATGCTGTTCTTTTGGCCGGCGTTCTTCCTGCTGCATTACACGGGGCTGGAGCCATTCGAGCTTCCTAGCCGCACAGTCTGGCTCTGCCTGCTGCTCAACGGCATTCTGGGCACTGCCATCACTGAGGCTCTCTGGCTCTGGTCAGTACAAACATCGCACACACACACACACGTGGTGCATTAATGCACAGCAGGACACAGAGTGCATGGCGCATGTGTGACGTTAATTAAATGGATCTGGTTTTGCCTAATTAGGTAAACTTAAAAAAATGATGACATACATTGATACTGTTTTATTAATGGAAGCATTAATGTCAGTTTATTTATTACTTGACCTTTTACTTTCTTTAGACAACTTCTGTATGTATGTATGTTGACCTTATTTCACACCATACATCGGCATCCATGTTAATTGGAGGTGCAGGGGAGGGACAACAAACTAAACACGAAAAGCAGTTTTCAATAAATTAGTTTTGTCTAGATTTAAAAGTCCATCGCTCCACAGTGGCTAATAGAGGTACAGTAAAACCTTGGATTGCGAGCATAATTCGTTCCGAAAACGTGTTTGTAATCCAAAGCACTCGTATATCAAAGCGAATTTCCCCATAAGAAATAATGGAAACTCAAAGATGATTTGTTCCACAACCCAAAAATACTGTATTCATATAAAAATGATTAATACAAAATACCTTTTTATATTTTTATTATTTAAATTTAATATAAAGTAATTACATTTATTAATTAAATTTAATTGTGGCTGGTGTGAGGGAGACGAGAGAGAGGAGAGGAGGGTTATTGTGTAGGACGACTTTCACTTGCAGTACAGTTAGTAAAGAACAGTCGCTACACTTGGACACAACATTTTAAAAATGCTTTACGCACACACTCGTGGTCACAACACTATAGTAAACAATATACGCTCGCACGAATGTTGACTGTACGAGTGAGGCACGCCGACTGAGACCGAGCATGGGAGATGATTACCCACAAATACCGCAGCGAGAGTGAGAGAAGAACCATTGGCTCAGTTGTGATCACGTGACGCTCGGAAGACAAAGCGTATACTGTACGTACTACAGTACTCGTATTGCAAGACCTCGCTCGTTTATCAAATGAATAATTATTAAAAAATTTGTTCGTCTTGCAAAACACTCGCGCAGACCAAGTTACTCGCAATCCAAGGTTTTACTGTACACGGGGGATCTGGCATTGATAATACCTCGTTTCACCTCTGACACAAGTTAGATATAGCTTGTTTGCACGTGTAAGTCTGTGCGACCGTTCATTCCTCCTTAAATGTTGCGTGTGTGTGCTCGCACCATTCAGGGGCTGCTTCTTGACGTCATCGCTCATGGGAACTCTGGCGCTCAGCCTCACTGTACCCCTGGCTGTCTTAGCCGATATTTGCTTCAGGAAGGTGAGCCGTGGGTTTCACTGGGGTGGGTGCAAGGGGTTAGAACCTTAAAAGGAGATGCAAGAGAAGAGAGTTTATCTTGTAGGTGTGTACGTAGGCTGTAAATCCTACGGTGTCTGCCACAAGTTTAAGGATTTGTTCATGAGAATAAAGACATTGCTGTTAAGCAGGCATAATTGCGCCCTCCAGTGACGTAACTCCGTAGACTTATCAATGCAAATTCACTCACATATCATGTCACTAGGGTGTTGTAATGTGTTTGACAGCCTGAAACACATAGCCTAGGAGCATAAGGTATATATGTGGGACAAGAGCTGTTTGATTTTTGTAATGAAGCTTACACATTGAGGGGGTGACATGGAAATGAATGTCTGCAGTTGATGTTAATCTATTTTAACTGTTTATTTTACGTTACAAAAGTGAATATTGACTGAGTAAACTGGAAAATGTAATGACTTGTTTCTTGAGATTACCTTACATTTATTTACAAATGTGGAAATGGTATTTTTGAGCATATATACGAAATCAGATTATACCTAATGAACACGGAGATACGAAAGGGGATGCGCAGGTAAGCAGACGCGCATCTGCCGGGTCTTTATTGATGTGCACTGAAGGAGGGATCCACCCCATGTCCGTGCAGGTGCAGTTCACGTGGCTCTTCTTCCTGGGCTGCACACCCATCTTCCTGGCATTCGCGGCAGCGGCAACGCTCTGCCACTACAACAATTGGGACCCCGCCACAGTGGGCCTACGCCGCATCTTCGCTTTCCTGTGCCGGCGGCAGCGCATGCAGAGGTGCAGCTCTGACACACGGCAGTGCAAAGATGGTAGCTTCCCCGTGGCCCACTCTAAGTGAGAAATCACGACAAATGGCATCAATGTGGCAACTAATCATCCACCTCCCCTTCTTCAGAGCGACAACTAAGCAGTGCAACATTCCCACATGTATTGACGCTCACCAATTTGCTGAAAACATGTATTTTTTTAAAATGTTCTTGCTGTGGTTTTCACACCTGATGATGATTGCTTGTGTTGCAATCGAAACGTCGTGAGAATTTTATTGTTTTATATTTTTATTATTTTATTGTTTCCCGTCTACGTGAATTTACCGAAAGAACCAAGAATATGAAAACATGTTGAACTTCTTTCACACCATACGTAGCCAACCGTGCTAATCTATATATATAAAATCGTTCATGTCTGTCTGTCTGTGTGTGTGTGTGTGGACTTTGGCCCATACGCACTTTCATTGGACGGCGGTTGCCCCTGGCAACGGCTAGCCACGCCTTCGCCGCTTTCATTGGACCTGGCAACGGCTAGCCACGCCTTCGCCAAGGGCTGCAGTTTCATTGGACGGCGGTTGCCCCTGCCAACGGCTAGCCACGCCTTCGCCACTTTCATAAGCTCCGTATTTAATTAAATAATAGCCATTACACAGTATTGTTGGAGCGCTAGGGGGGGGGGAAGGAACGACACCCGTACCCTGCCTCTTCCAAGCCGACAATTTTAGGCGAGGCCGCAGGCTTTGCACGCTACTAGGCCTCGACACCCACCACGCCACTCTGAGGTAAATTCATCAAAGTTTTTCCTACTCTTCACTACACCCCCACCACAATGTGTGCTATTAATATTACTTTTAAACCCAACGCGCCAACAATCGATTACTTTAATGTTCACTGTACAAATACTCATTAAGCTGGGTGAGCGTACTGCCAGTCTATCATGTACACTGTAGCCTGCTTATTAAGCTCGGTGAGCGTACTGCCACTCTATCATGTACACTCTAGCCTGCTTATGAAGCTGAGTGCGTGTACTGGCAGTCTATAATGTGGACTCTTGCCTGGTTATTATAATCGATTCTTTATATGTTCTTTGTACAAACAGTCATTAAGCTGCTTGAGCGACCCCAGTTCGATTCCAACTCACGCCCACCACCGCTGACGATTATTTGAAACGGACCTGGCCCTCCCCTAGGTCCACTCAGCCTCAAAAGCGTAACTGCTGTCGTGTGTGAACATCGTCACTGGGGAGACAAAGGCGGCGGGGCATCGTGGATCCAAGTCCCGGGCGAAGCCGGGTCATGTGTATGTGTGTTTGTGTTTATGTGTATGTCTGTGTGTCTCTATGTATGTGTGTATGTATGTGTATGTATGTGTTTGTGTGTATGTGTGTGTGTATGTATGTGGGTTTTTTTTATGTCTTTATGTGTATGTCTGCGTGTCTCTATGTATGTGTGTATGTACGTGTGTGCATGTGTTTGTGTGTATGTATGTGTGTGTCTATGTATGTGTGTGTCTATGTATGTGTGTGTATGTGTGTGTATGTATGTGTGTTATGTGTCTGTCTGTGTCTGCATGTATGTGTGTGTGTTTTGTGTATGTGTTTGTGTGCATGTATGTGTGTGTTTGTGTGTATGTGTATGTCTGTGTGTATGTGTTTGTGTGTATGTGTGTGTATTTATGTGTGTGTATGTGTTTGTATGTGTTTGTGTGTTTACGCTCGCATTACACAAATGTGTTGCTGGTCTAAGGCGTTCCTTGCACAGCATTGCCGCTTTATTATTTCAGTCGTTTACTGCCTTACGCACCCTGAAAGTCGTGTGTGTCTGCAGCAAGCGCGTGTATGTGTACCTATGGACGCGCGCGCGTGTGTTGTGTAGGGGGAACGGTAGTGTAGTGCTTAGCGTGCTGTCTGTGTCTGTGTGTGTGTGTGTCTGTCTGTGTCTGTCTGTGTGTGTCTGCGTGTGTCTGTGTGTGTGTCTGTGTGTGTGCGTGTGTGGTGTGTGGGGAGCGGTAGTGTAGTGCTTAGCGTGCTGTCTGTGTGTGTGTGTGTGTCTGTCTGTGTCTGTCTGTGTGTGTCTGCGTGTGTCTGTGTGTGTGTCTGTGCGTGTGTGGTGTGTGAGGAGCGGTGGGTGTAGTGCTTAACGCTACGCTGCGCTACCAACCCGGCGAACCCAGTTCCATTCCCGCTCACGGCCACCACCGGTGACGATTATTTGAACCTCCCCTAGGTCCACTCAGCCTCAAACGAGTAACTGGTGTGGCGTATTAACATCGGCACTTGGGAGACAAAGGCGGCTGGGCGTGGTAGATCCAAGTCCCGGGCGAAGCCGGGTCATGTGTATGTGTTTATGTGTATGTCTGTGTGTCTGTATGCATGTGTGTATGTATGTGTGTGTATGTGTTTGTGTGTATGTCTGTGTGTGTATGTATGTCGGTTTTGCCGCCGTGGTGGATCCAAGTCCCGGGCGAAGCCGGGTCATGTGTATGTGTTTATGTGTATGTCTGTGTGTCTGTATGCATGTGTGTATGTATGTGTGTGTATGTGTTTGTGTGTGTGTCTGTGTGTGTATGTATGTCGGTTTTGCCGCCGTGGTGGATCCAAGTCCCGGGCGAAGCCGGGTCATGTGTATGTGTGTATGTGTTTATGTGTATGTCTGTGTGTCTGTATGCATGTGTGTATGTATGTGTGTGCATGTGTTTGTGTGTATGTATGTGTGTGTGTATGTATGTGGGTTTTTTTGTATGTGTTTATGTGTATGTCTGCGTGCCTGTATGTATGTGTGTATGTACGTCTGTGGATGTGTTTGTGTGTATGTATGTGTGTGTCTATGTATGTGTGTGTATGTGTTTCTGTGTTTGTATGTGTGTGTATGTATGTGTGTTATGTGTCTGTCTGTGTGTCTGCATGTATGTGTGTGTGTATTGTGTATGTGTTTGTGTGTGTTTGTGTGTTTACGCTCGCATTACACAAATGTATAATGCGGGTCTAAGGCGTTCCTTACACAGCATTGCCGCTTTATTATTTCAGTCGTTTACTGCCGTATGCACCCTGAAAGTCGTGTGTGTCTGCAGCAAGCGCGTGTATGTGTACCTATGGACGCGCGCGCGTGTGTTGTGTAGGGGGAACGGTAGTGTAGTGCTTAGCGTGCTACCTGTGTCTGTGTGTGTGTGTCTGTGTGTGTGTGTCTGTGTGTGTGTCTGTGTGTGTGTCTGTGTGTGTGCGTGTGTGGTGTGTGGGGAGCGGTAGTGTAGTGGTTAGCGTGCTGTCTGTGTGTGTGTTTCTGTCTGTGTGTGTCTGCGTGTGTCTGTGTGTGTGTCTGTGTGTGTGTCTGTGCGTGTGTGGTGTGTGAGGAGCGGTGGGTGTAGTGCTTAACGCTACGCTGCGCTACCAACCCGGCAAACCCAGTTCGATTCCCGCTCACGGCCACCACCGGTGACGATTATTTGAACCTCCCCTAGGTCGACTCTGCCTCAAACGAGTAACTTAACTACTGTAGCGTATTAACATCGCCACTGGGGAGACAAAGGCGGCCGGCCGTGGTAGATACAAGTCCCGGGCGAAGCCGGGTAGTACAGCTAGTTGGAGCTAAATACATCTTCATATACAGATGACTGCAGGCCTTGGGCAATTGTTGGCGCTGGCTTAAGCCTGGCTGACATGCCAATTGCCTGTGGTTCTTCAGTCTTTGTGAGATCCAGTTGGTATGAGTGATGCTATACAATACTAAACTTTCACTTCAGTTTGGGTTTTGTACTTCCTGCTTTATTTTGTGGAAGATGCAATCCAGAAAATAAACAGCTCATCTTGTAGATGCGTGTCTAGGCTGTGTGTTCTTTGCTGCATGATACAAGCTAGAAGTTTCTTTCATGAAAAGGAAATACTTTAAAGTTATGTCCTAGAAATGTATTATGGCACTTGTGGAAATTCTATAGGTGAGCACGTTAGGTAAATTCCTCCCGAATGAACAGTGTGCCCTCCCTCGCTCTCCTTCAGGTGAACGGAGAGCCGTTGAAATGTCAGCACATCACCGTTTATTCCACATGCCATAGCAGCCGCTCATTGAAAATGGGTGCCCCTCTATATCAGTGTGCGTACTTTGGTTCTCCTCAATTTACTTTTGTGATGGAATTGCCAACGTCACTAGGGATGTCACAGGTGATGTCACTAGAGCACAATAATGGGAGTGCCTGACTATAATTTTAAAGTCTTTGTCATGGGACCTCCTTTGCCAGTACTAAAATGTGAGAATAGGTTTTCCCCTTTTTTTCTGGCAACGAAACAAGTGTTAAGATATTCTTGGTTCTTTCGATAAAGTCACGTAGAAGGGAAATAACATTTTTTGTATAATTATTTTATTATTTCCCTTCTACGTGACTTTACCGAAAGAACCAAGAATATGAATCCTTGCAGTCACGAAAGCTTTAAATCAAAAGTGTTAAGATGTTAAAACACCAAACTGAAACCTTTTACGAGGAATCATGTTTTCATTAGCCACAATACTTGTGGTCAGAATGCAAACAAAAAACACTGATAATATATGCATTTTCTTGGTTCTTTCGGTAAAGTCACGTAGAAGGAAAATAATTTTTAAAAAACAATAATATAATAATTTTTTTCTTTCTACGTGACTTTAATAATTATTATATTATTTTATTATGTTTTATTTTTATTATTTTTAATTATTTTCCTTCTACGTGACTTTACCGAAAGAACCAAGAAAATGAATCCCTGCAGTCACGAAAGCTTTAAATCGAAATATATGCATTGCGCCTTGTTTTAAATCTCACCATTGGTGGTGTGTGTCTGTGCCCGCAGGACGAGTGACCCCGAGCAGTGTGAGAGCCTCATCCCCCTGCAGACGGTGCCAGCTCCCGGAGGCAGCCGCGCATGACGCCAAGTGACGCTCAAACAATGCTGATACCTCACCCTAACACTCACGCTGCAGCCACAACTCTCAACTTGGATGCAGAGCTGTTCCGTGTTATGTTGGATGGGCGGATGGGCAGACGTGCGGGCGGGAGAGGACAAACCAAAAATATATTCCCTCCTCTTGAAGGACTGCTCCAGTAGCAAAAAATGCCAAATTATATATATAGATATAAATGTGCGCGTGTGTGTATATATCTACAGTATATAGAAAAATACTTTCAATCAAAGTGAGCGACTCGGTGCATTACCTTCTGATGAATAATATTCAGCAAGTTATTTATTTAACAATTTATGTAAACAATCGAGTCGAGCAGCAATAACTTCGTATATATAACATGGTAAATTAACCTGGAAATGCTGCTTTTTTTGCCAACTACGAATTAAAGTTGAGTGGTAAAACATTGCTGAAGAATTGAAGAACATTGACAGTTAAAAAAATAAAACATTCTTAGGTAAGTCTCAAAATACTATCGTTTTAAGCTTAGTGAAACAAGGTACAGTATTGTCACCATTTTTTCTGTTAAGTATAAGGGTTTTTTTTTTCATTAGTTTAGCTGGAGCAGCCTTTTAAGACCTGGTACACTGGAAAAGGAGAGCAAATGGTGCTTAATCTTTATGGTATATGTTAATATTTGTTTGCAGTGTCGAATATCTTCCTGGAAATATAACTGCGAGATACATAAACAAAGAGCCTTTTCGATGTTTTAACAATAGATGTCTTAATTATTTTAAAGACTTCAATCTAGACTGCTTGATTTAAGCTGTGCAGACTTACCATATAATTGTCAACATGGCTTTTATTTTTACGTGAGGTGCTAATCTGGTTTTACTCTTATGAATATCTGTACAAGTAAATTTATACATCGATATATTAATACGCTGTGACTAGCACCCATTGTCACACTGGCATTTTAGAGTTTGCTTTTGCTTTTTTAATACTAGCGCATTGTAAGATGAAGTGGAATAACATCCTCAGGTTTAAATTTCGATTTAAAGCTTTCGTGACTGCAGGGATTCATCTTCTTGGTTCTTTCGGTAAAGTCACGTAGAAGGGAAATAATAAAATAACAAAAATAAAACATAAAACTATTCTGTCTTTCCGACAGACCTGTTCTTCACCTGAGGATGGCTACTTGCGTTGTGGCCGAAACGTCGTGAGAATTGTATTTTATTATGTTTTATTATTTTCCTTCTACATGACTTTACCGAAAGAACCAAGAAGATCCTCAGGTTTGTAGTGTATAATACCATCACTGCCTGCAGGAGATGGCACAATTTCACGTGCATGTATTCACGATTCACATAACTGTTAAAACAACTGGGAAATGCGTTCATGTTAAGATGATTCAAGTACCTCCTGAGAAACTGAAGCCATGTTGATTACTGCGACAGCAGAGTCCAACGTGTTTTCTCTTTTTGTGAATAATTTTGCCGATGTAATAATATGCTACATTTGATGGTTGACATGCACTCGTTTTTATTTTTTAAAAGAACCATGGTATACTCTTGTACACCATAGTATTTTACGTAATTGTACTTTGTTCACAGTATACCATGGAACTTTTATATAACGAGGATTTATTGTTAAGGTTTACAGGTTTTTTTTTTACATTTTATGGGAGCTCATTAAAGATGGTGATGTGCTTTGGCCTTTCACAATATATTCTTATAATGGGATTGTGTTTTTCAAGACTGTTTATCTCCTGATACTTTCGTGTTTCTAGAAATGTGGTGATATTTAATTAGTAGGTGGTGTATAGCTGAAGGATGGGGTGCACACACGTTCAAAAGCTTCTGGCTCAATTTTACCAAAATTGTGCAATTATTTAAATTAAATCTGCATATCCTCACTCAACACAAATGAATGTCGTTAACCTTCCTTTGAACTGCAAGCTGAATGGAATGTTGGGAAAACATGTTCTCGTCTGAGCACACGAGGAGGAGTTTAGTAACTTAATGACTGGATATTTTCATTTGCTTTGTAAATATACTTCTTAAGGTGTTTAAGATGTCACTGAATGGTCAGCTTCAGCAAAAGCACAAGTCGGAATATTTGTTTGCTTATATCCACGATGCCTTGCTCATGCTGGTATGATCACAGCATTTGTAATATTGTGATCCACAATTTTTTAAGTTAAATAGCATTCACTGCACTTGGAATATGAGAATTCAACGGTAAAATGAGCTAAAACCCAGTTATTTGATTAAATGTTCAACACAGAATGATGTTCTAAAAGAACAGTCCTTTGTTGAATACAAACACTGTAAGATTACATGTAATTTAGATGATAACAAAACCAAGTTATTGCTGCTTTTTAACCTAAAAAGTGATGTTGCTGCATTGCCTTAAATTCCTAAAATTCAGAAGTAATGTCATGAAATGTGACAGACTATTGTAGGAGTATGCTGCTGTGAGACAATGTCCTGTTTACTTCCCCACTAACCCTGTGCTGCAACTTCATGGAAGATGCTTGTTGACCGTGAGTCTCAATCTGGACTTGCCTTGTACCAACCATGTGGTCTTATCCGATTAATAATACACATGTTTCAGAAAGCAGTCTTTAACTGATTCACAGTAAAAGAGTGGGTTCAACAAGAGCTCTTATTTTCATCTCGGTGTGCACAGTTGGCAGCTCAACTAAGTTATAAAACTAGGAAAGTGGATGTATAAGATGTAACACGGTTTTAGATCACACTGGCCTGCCTTCCTGACTTATGGACACCACAAAATTGTTAACACGATTCATGAAAACTTATAATTGCTATTTTAGGTATCTAGTTTCAGGAATGGATTGGTCTCAGTGTGCTGGCCCTGTAGCACAAAGTAACAGCTATGGACTGGCTGTTATGATTATCGTTAAGGATAAACCAGTATATATTGCTGCTGTGTTGTATTGCTTATTATCGGCCACAATTTTAAATGTAAATAGATGTTGTTACTTTGGGTTCATAATGCATGTGAAAATACAGAAGCTGTGTTTGCATTCTCTATTGTGCAGGCAATTAAGCCCAGTTGGTAATAAATTACTAGATCAGGTATTTAAATATTACATCAGCATTGTAAGCAAGCTGGGTAGAAATGCTTATAATCTCCCCAAAGCTTCCAGTCTCTCCCAAAAATGGTGTTTTACTAAGGTATTGGAATGTGCCATTTTTTTATTAAATCTCACTACGTGTTGTTTTGATGCGTTTTTATACCTAATGGCCATCTTAGGCTTTGGACAATACCACTGAAAGTAAGCATACGCTGTTGGGGCATAACCATTGTGAGCAAACCGGTACACTGAAAGATGGGCACATTTAATGGTGTGTAGCCATGTACATATTGAATACAGTATTGCACACGTTAACAAATGCACAAAACTGAAGTTCAAAGATTGAGTCACTGAGCTAGAAAAAAAACGTTATTCGTTTTGCCCGGATGATGGTGGTAGCATCCATTGCTTTTTGTGATACGACTGCCAATATTGAAAGCCTGGCTAGAATTATCTGGCCTAATTACATTCCAGGGTTCTGGACTCGACCCTTAAAGTCAGTGGTTTTCAATCTCCCTGTGCTCGCCCATAAATAATGAATGTTTCAATTTCCAGTAACCACGTTTGTAAATTCGATATTTTATTATGGTTCTCAAACAAGAAAATCAAACATCACAGCAGCAGTCATTTAAACAATGTACTGTAACATTTTGCAAGGAATCCTTAATTTTTTTTTCTCTCGAATGCAACATTGAAAATATTATTGAAATGTGATTGCTTTATAACATTTAAAACTCTTGAACATTGCCCCTTTAGCAGAAAAGTATGCGTAATATAATCAAGAAGGTGCCTATAACAGTGGTAAACTGGACAAATGAGGCATTCATATTTCGTCATCTGCATACCCCAATGCCTCCAAGGTTTTGAATGAGCAATATCACCAGATACGTTCTTTTATAAGCATTATTCAAAGTGTACTTAGTGTTGAAATTTGTTTATCAGCACTTTCATAATATGCTCCTTTGTCAGTCCGCTGCTGGATGAAGGCTTCCCCATGTTGTTGGTTATGGGGGTTTTTTGGCCATGGTTGAATCAAATATTACTTTGACACAAATGTATATGAAGCACAGCTGATGTTTTTCGGCAAGCTGATGTCACCAACTGGGCACCAACATTTTCCGATTGATATATATTGTAGGCCTAATTGTTACATTGAAATTTTAATGCATTGAATGATACATGAAAATCACATCAGTTTATAGACTGAAACATCTGTGTTGCACATTGGACAAATTATTTTGTGCTGGTAAAAAAAGTGTCTAAAATATCTGGAAAATGGTAAGTAGTGCTTTGATTGCGTATACATGGGTTTATGTAAACCACTATGCAGTTTTCTGCTTGCTGTGTGCCTCGCCATAGGGGATATGGATATGACACTGGAGAATGTAACGATTCACTTCCCAACCCCACCAACAATGCAATTCATCTTGATAATTTGGGATCTTAAGTCAAGTATATTTTTATTATCTTGTCCATCTTATTTTTTCCAGCTCAATTATTTTGGTGTACTCTTCGCCTTAAAAATAATTGGTATCTAATAACTACATTCTTTACATTTATTTTTAGTCATCAATTATTATAGATGCTCAATTCAATGCACGCACCTTAAAATTAAGACTTTACTTTAAGCTGTCACTGAATCGTTAGATGTTTAACCTCGTCTAATAAAACTCAACCAAGAAAGTTAACCACCATCACAGTGGAAGACCATGGTTCTCAAGTTAAGTGGCCGTTTTGGAAATAAAAAGATGATTTTTAAACTGCTGTTTTTAGTTATCCGAAACATTCATAATGAAAGAAATAAAATGGGAATTTATAAAAAAATATACAAATAAAAAATGAACATATGAACATGACTGTTTATTCTCCATTTAGACATTTTAAAAACCTGAAACCTTGTTTTACATTGTTGTCTGGGTTAGGAACTGCCTTGTGTTAATTTGTAAAGGTTAATTAGTACCTTTGATTAATTTTGAAGATGTCTATTTTCTCATCCTTGCACTAATTCCAGGCATTATTTGCACTCCCATTAAAATTAAATGTATGCTTTGCAAGGGAAACCTGAGTATTCACAGATACACAGCCTTTTAAAATTAAATAATTTGCACAGGTAATATTCAAATGATGGATTCAAACTTAGAGGCAAACTTGTCCAGTATGGTATATTAAGCCCACCTTACAAGCATGTGAATATTCTTTGGGTCTTTCGGTAAAGTCACGTAGATAGGTTCAAAGAAAATAACAAAAAAACTACGACGTTTCGATCGCAACACAAGTGGTCATCAGGAAAAGGGGGTTAGCCTCTAAAGGCAAACTGCTTATGAAGGTTTAAAGATGGGCGTAGCCCAAGTGTCGGCAGCATGGGCGGGGAAACTAATGTTAATGTAGGGGAAAACGACACGGGCAGTGGGTCTCCACTCGTCAAAGGGCCGCCAGGCAAGCATTGCACCTCGCTCCACACACCCACACTGCTGACGGAGGTTGCTGCTAGAGGTGATGGTAGTAGTGCGTAATGATGGTGCTGGTGGTGGGCTTCCACCAATTAAAGGACCACCAGGTCTAAAATGGAAACATTACAGCCAGTTTTGACAAACTGGTTGATAACGTCCTTACAGTGATTGCTGAGTTTGTACCCATCTTCTCGGTTTAAATTGTACATATGTCTAAATATGGATGGTTTAATGAACGAATCTTTGTTGATAGCTGGTGGGTTTGCAAAGTACCTTCGTCTTAGAAAAATAAATTTCGTGTGAGCCCACCACATTAAAGCAATGATCAGCCACGGCCGAGGTATTGGTCCTACCGTGTTTCAGATCTGCCTTATGTTCACGGACTCAGTCCGAGACATGTCGCTTAGTTTCCCCAATGTAACTACTGCTGCAGAGGGAGCTTAGTTTGTAGACGCCGGGGTATTCCATGTCAGGGATCACATCCTCCACAGATGGGTCGTTACATTTAGGGACACATCTCGGACCGGGTCCGTAAACATAAGGCAGATCTGAAACACGGTAGGACCAATACCTCGGCCATGGCTGATTATTGCTTTAATGCGGTGGGCTCACGAAAATTATTTCTCTAAGACAAAGGTACTTTGCAAACCCACTGGTTATCAACAAAGATTCGTTCATGAAGCCATCCATATATACAGACATAGACACAATTTCAACCGAGAAGATGGGTACAAACTCAGCAATCACTGGAAGGATGTTATCAACCAGTTTAAGTCATAACTGGCTGTAATGTTTCCATTTTAGATCTGGTAGCCCTTTAATTGGTGGAAGCCCACCGCTCGGACCATCACTGTCCACTCCTACCATCACCACGAGCAGGAGCCCTTTATTGGTGGAAGCCCACCACCAGCACCATCATTACTCACTACTACCATCACCTCTAGCAGCAACCTCCACCGTCAACAGTGTGGGTGTGTGGAGCGAGGTGCAATGTTTGCCTGGCGGCCCTTTGATTGGTGGAGACCCATTGCCGGTGTCGTTTTCCCCTACATTAATATTAGTCGCCCCACCCATGCTGCTGACACACTTGGGCTACGCCCATCTTTAAACCTTCATTAACAGTTTACCTTTAGAGGCTAACCCCCTTTTCCTGATAATGACCGCTTGTGTTGCAATAGAAACGTAGTTTTTTGTTATTTTATTTGAACCTATCTACGTGACTTTACTGAAAGACCCAAAGAATATGAATTGCTGCAGTCACGGAAGCTTTCAGTAAAGAAGCATGTGACTGTTTAGTAATTCCCTGTAGAAACCAACATCCAATATGAAAATCTAATCACCGACTCCCGTGTAAATTGTCCCTGGTGTCCAGCACTCTGCATACCAAGCCATCCGGCCACTGAGCTTGCATTGAAGGTCTTCGTTCATTTACCTTGTGTCAGGGTGTGCGAGCTTGTGCGAGAAGGGTCTGGTACGTTTGCAGGATCTCGGCCTCTTCCTGCAGGGTACTGTCCAAATAGTCTTCCTCATGCTCCGGGACATCTGCTGTCACCTCTTCCATTGCCTCGCGCTCACTGCGAGCTTCCTCTTCTGTCCTCACCCTTCCGTCTGAGCAAATACAAATGTCCCATTTAAGCCTGCAGACTGATGAGGTAAGTGCTTTCAATGTCAGCATGACACATGAGGTATAATCAGCACCACGACCATGAGAGCCTTTCAAGTGCTCATAAAATGTTACTTTTATTAATTTTAATTTTTTACCTACGTGACTTTACCGAAAAAACCTAAATATGCAAGGAGCCCATGGAACCACTGGGACAAGAAGCGAGAGGTCCTGTGCCATCGCTTAGTACGGCTCGGGTCTGCTTTCCAACTGTCGTGGAAACCAGCAAAGGGTCCTCACTTTGCTTAATCACCAATTACGTCACAGCTATTGTCATTGCCATCTCCACATGAAATGTGCATCACTCCGTCCATCACCTGTGGGAGTGGTGGCTGAGGATGAGGAGGAAGAGGAAGATGTGGAGGGGGGTAGCACCCCTCCGGACGTGACAAGAGCATCCACCGCACGCTGAAGATTCCCGCGCGCGCTGCGCAGGGCTCTCTCTGCCATCTCGTAGTCGAACCCCAGCGCCATCACCTGCAGTGATGTGGACGTTGAAATCTCGACAGCAAAACTCCTTCACACCTTAATGTTCAGTAGTTGTCAGTAAAAAAAAAAAATCACCATTGTGATCAACGGCTAAGCCTCCCATAGCTGCAAAAACACGTTCCTTCGGAGTGGGCAGGTAGGAACTTGGTTGCACAGCGCATTCGTGCACGACAGAAAGCTCGCAGTCACGTGACGCACTTCAACCAATCCGGGAGCGTACAAATTTGGGAGGGGCTATGCACGACAGACAAATAATCCCTGGTGGGCAGTGTGGAACTGTTGTTCCTACCTGTATAAGTTGTTGATTAATGTGAACCAAGCATGGAATTGCTGGTTCAAACGTCGGTGCCAGCTACCAATATTCTACTTCAGTGCGAGGAACGTGTGATGCATGCCATGGATCATGTATCAATTCGTGCTACTTATAATTTGAAGAGAGCTAAGTTTTCAGTGTTGGTTTCTGGTTAACAATGTGGTATTTTGGTTATTTCGGCCCCCTCCCTGCCTCAATGATGAAATTACAACAATGCCCTTCTCCCCAAGAAAAGCATCGCTGAGCCTCATGACTCTTTTTAGGAGGAACAGATGACCCATTAGAAGCCCACTACAACTTTTGAGAACCCAGGTAAAATTACAGGAGGCTGAAAGCTGGATTCAAACCCCCGTCTCCAGTGCCAGCTCTGTGTTCTAAGTCACCAACTGAATGATACTACAGTGTTTGAAAATGTTTTGTTTCAGTAAATGAAATGTTAGGGGCCAGTCATTACTCATTGCATATGATTACGTTTTGGATCAGCACTCATCCTTTTCATGACGTTTGGCTAGTTTTATGTGATGTGTTATCACCTGGAGGAGAAGCTCTTCAGTAACATCTACAGATTCTTCATCTGCGTCATTGTCCGACAGAGCTAGTAGCTCTGGGTGGTCTTCCAAAATCTGGACATGCATGCACACACAGCTTACACTTACTCATGTGCACAACAACAACACCTTCCAACATGCACTACCAAGCGCAGTGAATTCACCACGGTATATGTGCCAAGCTACGTGCACCTTAACCTGCAGTATGGAAGAATACTATCATCACTGAAAGAGTCAAGGGAGATTGACTCTACGTGTTTTCTGGATTCAATAATCAGTGTTTGTACGCCACGGACTCCACCTATTGTATTGGAGCTGCTGGGTGCTGTTTGCTGCTCTAGACAATGTTAGTTTATCTTACATTGACACTGCCGCAGCATCACGCACTGCCCTGCAACATCAGTCACGCTCCTGCATACAGAGACCTCAAAACTCACAAGTACAATAAATCGTGCATAGTTCACACCTGACCCGAATGCAAACACTCTTGAAACACAAAGATCCCCCGTATAGCCTTAACAGACTCTTGGAGCAAGTGCTGTTAGCGAGCACCTATGAAGGCCGGCACGGCACACGAGGGGGTGGGTGGCCAGCACCACGCCCGGCCGCTTTTGTCTCCCCAGTGGCGATGTTTACACATCGCACAAGGTACTCATTTAAGGCTGAGTCGACCTAGGGGAGGCCCAGGACCGGTTTAGATAATCGTCACTGGTGTTAGCCGTGAGCGGGAATCTAACTCGGGTCACCGGGTTCGTAGGGCAGCGCGCTAACCGCTACCCTACCGCTCCCCACGTAAAATAAATTGTGCATAGTCCACACTTGACCCGAATGCAAACACGTTTGAAACACACACACCCATGCACACACGCCTCCTTCGTGTATGGATAGAAAAGCATTCTGACCTATTCACCTGTGTCTTAATGAATACAATGCTTGTCACTTTGATGAAAGGGAACGGTCTTATATCTCAAGGACAATTGTTTTCATAAAACGTATGCGATTTTCCCAGCAATGACTCACTCCCCAAGGACATTACCATTGGCTTGTAGAATATTTCAGTTTGTGAATTGTCATGCAGGGCTGGCGTGTCTGGAACTCGAGTTTGAGTTAAGCTTTAACAATTACCTTCCAATGTCAAATGAGAATTTACAGTCAGCCAACTCCAATCAACGGCACATTAATATATTAAACGAAATATTCAAAGTGCCCCCATGCTCAAATGAGTACAATATAGGGCTCGTCTCCTTTGGAAGCTGAACCAGTGGTGGAATTTCCACATTTCTATGGCAAGAACCAATATTTCAATTGGGACAACCAGTTCAGCAGGGTCACAGTTGGTTGCAAATATCGACCGGGATTAAACAAATGC